AGGGATAGAGAGTTAGAAACATCGATGAGAGAGAAACATCGATCAGCTGCCTCCTGCACATCTCCTACTGGGGATGTGCCCGCAACCCAGGTACATGCCCTTGACCGGAATCGAACCTGGGACCCTTCAGTCCCCAGGCCGACGCTCTATCCACTGAGCCAAACCGGTTAGGGCATGTCCTGTATTTCTTTAACTTTCTCTCTCCTGGTTGCCCCCTTTCCAGAATGTAATTTTTTTTTAAAGTTTTGAACAGCCCAGCTGTGTTTGACCTCCCATGCACATCCTCCTTAAAGAGTTACCTGTGCCCAGCTGGTATGACTCAGTGGTTGAGCATCAACCTATGAACCAAGAGGTCACAGTTCAGTTTCTTGTCTGGGCACATGCCCGGGTTCCGCGGGCTTGACCCCCAGCTGGGGGCATGCAGGATGTTGATATTTCTCTCTCATCAATGTTCTATCTCTCCCTCTTTCTCTCTCTCTCAAAATCAATAAGAACATATTTATTTAAAAAAAGGAGTTACCCACAATTCCCTGACACCTCTCTCTCCTGGTTTTCCTTCTAGCTCGTCCCTGGCTCCCTCTCACCCCTCCACTTCCTGCACCTCAGGGGCAGCCTCCTCCCACCCACTGGGGCCCTTCCTTGGGGTCCCTAATCGTCTCACTCAATCTTGTCTCCTTAGACCAGCTCCCCACTCTGGCTTCTGGTGCCATCTGTCCGGGCAATGCCCCATGGCTGTCTCTACCCAGACAGCTCCCCTAAACTCGAGACCTAGTCAGCAGTGAGGACCCTCAGGGCTCTTCTGTTCCCTGCTCAGAATCACCCTCAGGCCTCTTGCTTCTCCTGCCCAGGTCTCCCTCCAGCACTCTGAGCTCCGTCACCTCCTCCTGCCTGCAGGACTATCCTCAGAATCACTCTCTTCCCTCCCACCCCTGCCACACTCCCCCTGGCGAACTCCTACTCGTCCGCAGGACCCAGCTTCGCACGCCAACCAGGGTCTTCCCGCTCCCCAGGCTCCATCAGGCCCTTGGCCAACATCTCCCGTCAGAGGCCCTGTTGACCTTTCCCACCAGACTGTGAGCTCCTTGAAGGCAAGACTGTGGCCATGTGTTCGTTCGTTCATTCATTCATTCATTCATCAAATATTTATTAACACCACGGCATGGCAAACAACACTGTGCTAAGCTGGTGGGTGGAGTGGGGAGCAGAGTTTAGTCTGGCGAGAAGGGAGTGAGTAAGCGGGAGTGGCCCTGAGGGGGCTCGAGGGCTGGGCTGGGCCGCGATAAGGCGGTTCTGAGTCTTATGTGTGGTTGCATCCCCGGCCTTCTCAGCTCCCGTGGGCTCCGTGAGGCCGCCTGCTTGAGCCGAGAGTTCTTCTCAGGATGAGGGAGACGTTGGAGACAAGCTCAGTGGAGGGTCCCCGTGAGCCCCTCAGAGCAAAGCTTTCTCCTCAAACCGGGGTCGAGGGCTTGTGTTTACCAGGAGGTTCCGTGATGTAGCCAACTCTTTATCCTGAAATTGTTATAGATCAGGGGTGGGCAACCTTTTTGTGAGTGCGTGCCAAAACCAGCAAAATCTCTGACTCAAAATTCTTCTGCGTGCCAACCCTAATTTTTTGAGAACATGTTACACCTACTTGATATCTCTTAAGGTGTACGTATGTGAAGAACCTTGAAGAAATAATAAAATTCATTCGAGCGACAAAAACACAGTATATGATGATGGAAAATACATTTATTTTTTAATGTATACATGTACACTGCTAGTCCGACAGAAAACTTTATGGCTCCGTTTGATATTATCAGTGGGACTTTTGCTGCCGCATCACTGATGACAGAGATTTTACATCAGGTTTATATTTCGTGACCTTCAGAGATACGCACGAGCTACTACTTTCATCCGTCAGGCTACTCCTATTACGAGACTTAACAAAATTCATCACTGAGAACAAAGATTCACCATTGTAAATAAAAGATTATAAGAGAGGGTTTCGCGTGCCAGCAAAAGTTACTGGCGTGCCATGTTTGGCACGCGTGCCAGGGGTTGCCCACCCCTGTTATAGATTCACAGGATATTACACAAACAGCCCACACAGTCCCCGTGTCCCCTCCCCGGATGGTGATGACTAGTGGACTGTGGCCCAACCTCAGACCCAGGCCATCCACAAGGGTCAGCTTGACTCCAGATCTTTTTAAAATTGAATTTATTGAGGTGACATTGGCTAATGAAATTATACAGGTTTCAGGAGTACAATTCTATAAGACATCACCTGTTAGACCCCAGATCTCTTTTTTTAAAAAAAATCCTCATCTGAGATTATGTTTTTCATTGACTTTAGAGAGAGAAAGGGAGAGAGGGGAACATCTATGTGAGAGAGAAACCTCCCGTAGGTGCACTGAGGGGCGATCAAACCCGAAACCTAGGTAGGTGCCCTGACAAGGAATCGAACCCGCCACCCTTCACTGTGCAGGACAGAGCTCCAACCAACTGAGCCACATGGGGCAGGGCTCTCGACCCCAGATCTTATCCCACATCCATTGCTCACATGCGTCTCTCTGCCTGTGTGAGTGTGTACATGTGTGTTTCTATGTAACTTTATCCCAAGCATAGCTCGGTGTAAGACACGGAACTGGTACCTCATCACAGAGCAGGCCCCTGGAGCCGCCCACCTCTCTGTCCCTGGAGAATTCTTTATTTTTTTACATGTTTTTATTCTAAATGTTTAGAAAGAGAGGAAGAGAGAGGGATAGAGAGAGAGAACATCGATGAAAGAGGAGCATCATCAATAGGCTGCCTCCCGCGTGGCCCCTACTGGGGATCGAGCCCGCAGCCTGCAATCGAACCGGAGATCTCTGGGTTCCTGGGTCCACGCTCAACCGCTGAGCCGCACTGGCCGGGCCGGAGAATTCTTTCTTTACAAAGGGGGGTTCAGTGTTGCCCGGCTGTGGCGGCTCAGTGGATTGAGCATCACCCCAGGGACCACGAGGTCCTGGGTTTGATTCCAGTCAAGGTCACATGCCTGGGTTGGGGGCTCAATCCCCAGTGTGGGGTGTGCAGGAGGCAGCCGATGAATGATTCCCTCTCATCATTGATGTTTTATCTCTCTCCCCCTCTCCCCTCCTCTCTGAAGTAGAAAAATATATATATTTTTAAAAAACAAACAAGCAACAACAGAAAAGGGGGGGCGCTGTTCCTCCGTGGGGCCGGTTGGCTGGAAGCAGACCTGCCCAGGGCCCAGGTGGGCGTGGGCGTCCGGAACCCAGCGGTCCCCAGGTGCAGGCAGAGGCAGGCTCAGCTCAGGGCAGCCCGGGCACAGGCGAGGAAAAGTGGTTCCTCTCTGAAATCAATAAAAATATATTTTAAAAGCACAATAAGGGGGTTCAGTGTTTTAGCTCAGCATCTGGCCCTTCTGTGTCACCAGGGCCCCAGCCAAGGCCTTCAGCACAAAGCAGGGCGCCCCCTCCGTGGGGCCGGTTGGCGGGAAGCAGACCTCCCCAGGGCACAGGTGGGCGTGGGCGTCCGGAGGCGGCACCCAGCGGTCCCCAGGTGCAGGCAGAGGCAGGCTCAGCTCAGGGCAGCCCGGGCACAGGCGAGGAAAAGTGGTTTGGGAGCCAGCCCTGGGCCGGCCAGGGAGGGAGGGAGAGAGAAAACAGAGGCGGCCTCCTGAGTCACCGCGTGGTGGTCCGGGGCTGGGCTGCTCAGGCCCCGAGACAAATTGCAGTCATTAGGGACTTTAAGAGGCTGGGGGAGGGGCTGGGCACCGAGGTCCTGCTCCCAGTTAGGACGGGTTCCCCAAACCCAGGGCCCCCCACTTCGGGCTTCCTGGAACCTTCCCTCATCTCACCGCTGTCTCTCCAGCTCTCTCTGGGCCCCTGTCTCCCTCTCTCTGGGTCTCCATGGCTTCCTGTGTCCCCGGGCACAGAGCCTCCCCGTCCCTGCCCGGGACCCTGCTCCCTCACCTCCCAGGACTGCGAGGACCATAAAGTGAGAAAGCGTGGGAGACACGC